AAAAAACCAAACCTTCCTGCCGGATTAGTTTACCGCGAGTATTCGTAATTGAATAATATTTTAGTTATCTTTTCCACGTACTTTTTTCAATTTATCCATTTTTTATGTCTAATCTATCGAGAACATGGCAGATTCTCTTATTTTGGTGATTGCTATCATTTTTTCTTGAATTCCAAAACAACGTGTGAAAACGCAACGTATCGTGACCGTACATGCATAAATGCATCTTACCGGTGAGTACTGATGCCACAAATAAAAATGGGTTTTGTTTTGACAAACCGTCCGTTTTGGCTTCGAGGTCAAATCACCTTGTATATTTTCTACATTATAACTCAATTATGTTTTGTACCTGCTCTTGGTTACTCGAATTGCATTTCTTGAACATAGAATAATTTGCGAACGTATAAATCAACGATTTCAAACTTTTTGCAATTTTGTAAATATTGATAGTGGCCAATCTGTTTGTATTTCAAAAAAATGTAACATGTTTCAATTAAATTAAAAAGAGTATAGTAAATAACTTAGTGTGTATTGCAGTTCATGACATAAATGCTAGAATGCTGTATGTAAATGATATGCAAATTTATGCTAATTAAGCCGCCCACCAGCTATTTTGGATTGTGAAGAACACTGGCTTATACTTGGTTGATTTTAGTCATTTGACATTGCATTGTCAAAAGCATAGCCAATATAATCGAATTGAATAGCCAATATAATTATTGCATAGTAACTGTCATTGAGTGAGGAAAGTGGGTGTTGTTAGAAATGGTAGGGAAAGTAACTGGTAATTATTGAACGGTAATTTTAACCTTTTAATAATATATGTGCATGTGATGGTAAGGTTGGTATTTAAATTACAACTATAAGTTTACCATTTTAGGATATGTAAGAAGTCTGTGATTCTAGTAATCAATGTACACCAGATGACTAATTTATAATATACAGATTCATTTTCAGTCATTTTCATCAAAAACTAGCAACTTACAGCAGGCAGGCACCAAAATAAACCGATCAGAAACCACTATATTTGTAATATTCTCTTTTGCAAATATTGTAAAATTCCTAGAACATTTCCAGCAGAGTTTGTGTATGACTTTACCATCAACCATTGGAAAGTGAGCACACTGATTTGCATATTGAAAGTCCCACTACATTTGATGAGATGCTGAAACTATACTATCGGCGCTACCCTTACAGTGTCAATTAATTGAATGCACTGATTGAGCATTGCCTGTCTATTCAGTGAGAGTGATATATTATATCATAGCTTGTATTCATATTTAATTGAAAATCAAACTCATTTAATGTAAATAAACATTGAATAATTTTACACGAACAACGCTGCAGAGAAAAGAGAACTGTAGTCAGTGCCGTTTCTTACCTTTGGATATCAAAAGTGTCTCCTTTCTTTGCTTTTCCTTTCGGTGGGAAGTGCATCAAAGCAGGCGCAGAGTTCAGTTTTAGCTACAATAAATAAGTGATGAAATTGAGGATTGGCTTCATCATAATCTTATTTTCCACACTTGCAAAGAACAATTTATTACAGTAAACCAGAAAGTAACTTTATACTTACAGATTGAAACACATCGTGGGCTTCATCATAATCTACACTGGCAAAAAATAGCTTATTGCTGTAAGCCTGTGAGTATCTCCACGAATTGGCAAGGATCTGGAATTCATCATTAACTTGTCTGATAAGAAAAAAAACAAAAACTTGATAAATAGATAAAGACTAGCCGGATGAGGTGGCGCCCTCTGTGGTGCTCCAAACCCAATACAAGCCTGATAGAACGATGTAGTTTTTCACTTCCCTTGACGATTTTTTGTTGGTACTAATCAAATTGCAGGAACGTCAGATAGTGACAGCCATCAAAGAGTAACAATTCATGACAGAGTTTATTTGTTGACATAATATTTATCATCTTGTTGAAAACGGTCTGTGATATTTGCCAACAATGCAAACACAGCTTTGATTGAAGGTGTTACCATGACCACCAAAATGAATATTCATTGAACTCATTGAAAGAAGGTGTGAACTTTGCGAATTCTCAATATTCACATGACATACACTATTCTGTCAGGCGTTAGCCTACTGTCAGGCCTACTCACGCGTACATGTCAGGCTAGATCAAGACTTACTGATGAAAAGTGTTGAGCACCATACTGATTTGTAACCAGCATGTAATTAGTACTTACCTGCACACTGTACATTGTCTCTGTGGCTGCATAGCTGTGAACATTACTAGCATAGAATAGTTTCGAGGCGTTGCTTTCACATATTGCCGGAATTTGTCACCATTTAGTCTGATAACAGATCTCTTCATATTCCAGTCCATTAGCTGCTTAACTCTATCCCCCAGTACCTGCTACAAGAACACACAGAGAGAAAACTGAAATAGTTTATAATTGCAGAAAGTTTCACTTCCTCTGATCACAAACTCCAATGCTCTCCCCTGTGCATTCCACAGGGGATACAGACACACACATTCCAAATACGAAACACATGGTGTTCAAAATCACAATACTATTCAAATTGCATATGCATCTTGCTCTGCACAAAATTTATCAGTGAAAGTGAAACAAGTCTTGTGAAGGTGAAGGATTCTATAAAATTGGGAAACAACACTACAAAAATGATACCACAAAAATAAAGGTATAATCAAACTCGTTGATCTGCATAAAATTTTCTCAGTTAAATTGTAATATATTTATTTGAAGAACAAAAACAATTCCAGTCAATGGGAGGCACCATATATCAACACTGTCCATGAATGAACCAATGAAATTTGTACATCTGGAGTTTTGTGCGTACACTACGTGTTCAACGAATCTCGATGCAACAGAATTGCAAACTATCGACAATTAAAACAGATCGGTTTATAACTTACTTCTTTCTTTTTGGCATCTACGAGTGGCGTGTTTGAAGCAATAATATTAACTATAACGAATAATAACAAAAAGAACCATATCCCGGTACTCGTTGATTCCGCCATGTTGTTCAAGTACCATCAACGCATGCGCAGTCCACTTAATCATCTATAAGAAAGATTGAGGTCGATTGGTTAATTACAAACTGACCTGTATTTTTCGACCAATAGAAAAACGCGGTATAAATATCATTTTCACAGCCCGCACCAGAGAGTTGATCGTGAGAGTGTGCAGGTCAGTGAAGTTTCCCTTTTCTTGTATATTTAACGCTTTCAGCGGTGCTTTGAGTGCACTTATACTAGATCCTTGATTGTGGGACATTATGTGATTGTGGGAATTTGGTACCAGTCTATAGTCACTAAAGCTTTTCCGATTTCTGGGCAGAGTTCGTGTTTTTGTTGTCGTTGTCCACTGAACTGTGTGGTCTTCCTAACCCTTCAGTTTACTATGCAAAGAATTCGGCGGCTTGTTTACGTTCGGTTAGTTTTACTGCTTCGTGCGGTTCACCCAACTATAATACAGATGCTTTGTCGTGTTACCCGTATTATGTCGTTTACTAGCCGTTGTTCGATGCCGATATTAAATGTAAAAGTATATTTTGGTGACACAAAACTACGAACGCTCGGTATATTAGCTAGTTTGTCGATCACCCGTCAGTTTGCCAAATTATAACCACTGGCAGTATGGTTAAAATGACTAATCTCCAATCAACAACATAACATGCATTTATTCTTTTAAACAATCTGTTAATTAATGAATACAGATCTATTAATTCAGATTTGAATCATACCCTTCATTTCATTATTCAGAATTATTTTTATAGCATTCAGAATTCTAATCATGTTTACTGTCGGCCATGTGGTTTGTGTCATATTCACTAGTCCAGCTACATACAAATGCCTTTCGATTTGTTTGAGATAACTAAACGGAATGGGAGTGTTATATGAATAAATTACTGTCATATTTTATTGACGACGAAGAAGGGATATGTTTCAAAATGAAAATAAAGAATACCTGTAGCGAATAGGCTAAATTAACTTGAAAACAAACCTTTTAAACAAATCATATAAATGAAATTAAAACGTCTTGAATATTTCTGCCATTAATTTACAGTTGTGTCATGGAAACTTAATTGAGAGAACAATTAGTAAACCAGCAAATAAATTTGACAGATTATTTTCAAAGCTGTGATAATTTCCCATAGTGCCATATTGGAATGAGTATTCCATTGAGTACATTGGCACTGTGGGGAATGAATTGTTTTTATTATGATACACCATCAATATGTGTGTGGAATGTTTTATGTCTAACCCATTGATGCATATCTTGGAATGCTAAGCAACCCAACAGCATATGTGTTGTTAGTAACCCCCCCCCCCCCATAACATCAATAGCAATCAAACAGGAACTAGTGTAGACGATTTTTGTTTTCAGTTGATAAATTTCTCTCCCCCAATGTCACCCATGATACGATAATTCTTTTTCTTTTTGCCCATCACAGATAATTAGTCAGACAGTAGATAGTGGTAATCTATTTGATATTATAAATAGTGTGATGTTGGGGCCTCTCAAATGACTATTGACAGACAGGCAATGCCTATTTAAAGATTTTCTGTAATATTTTTATTCGTTTCAAGTACCCATAACTTCTGGGTTTTTGTATTTATACAAGATGAATCATGAATCCTGGAGATTCAAGCATAGCTCAGTTTTTATAATGTTGAAATCTGAGTGTGAATTATATCTTTTTTTGTGGAATTATTGAAGTAGGATAAAACAAGATTCTCTGCAAATTCTGGAAGTCTGGAATCTATTTTCTTCAATCTCATTTGTTGATTTTTAAATGCAGGATGGTCTAGAGTTCAGCAAAAAGTATCTTCTGACCCAATAAGTTGCCAATAAGAATCTTCTTTCATAAATACATGACCGCTAGTTTAAAAGTTTCATTGAAGGTTATAGTCATACTTGTGTGTAAAAAGAAAAAAAATGGGTCACCAGTCAACGATTTGATTTAAAAAAATGTTTGATTGCAAAATGTTCATTTTATACCGGGTATTTGTTTATTCCATCAGAATGTGGTGAAAATATTTTCTCATATTTTCAACTTTTTGCTCGATTACATGTTGGGCTGAAAAAATCGTATATTGTTATTGATATGAATCAGATTTTTTAATTTAGTGAGTTTCTATAATATTATTCATTCATTATTGATATTTTATCTTGAATTGATATTACTTATCAATATTATGCCAGTCACAGCCAGTGGTGCAAAAAAAATCGTCATAGACATTAAAAATAATGATAACATTGTTATTTTTCGCCAAAAAATAAATTAATATTTTTCATCACATTATGTGGCAATTAATTTTCCTAAAGCATTGTCATGGTTAATAGCGAGCACACTTGAATTTCGCATAAGCTTTTTTAAAACGCTGCAGTCATTAGTAACCTGTGTTCAAATCTTAAGTAGACAACCAATGAATTTTACACTTGTTGTATATGTAACTATGACATGTTTATAGAACATTATGAGTAACATAACTCGTGTGCTTACAGTTGCTGCTACCGTTCATAAAAGCTGTATTTCAATAATCAAGCATAGATGCAATTTTTGGTTTATGTGCTCTTCTCTTAGAGATGCGCCTCTAATAGAGCAAATACAGTATCTGTAATAATAAACCAGTTATGCAAATAAGACAGATTCTTGAGGATAACTTGTTATTGTTGTGGCTCTCATGGGAGATATTACAACTTTGAAGTGCTATACAAAATTCAATCATATATCCGTTGGTTGAGTTACAAATGTTTATATTAAATATAACCATTGAATCGTCAGCTGTCCACTGCAATCAATGTATTTTTAACTGCATCAAACTGAACTCTGTACTCCACTAGCAATGCTGTAAATAGATATATTTGCTTTTATTATCTGACTACTTGCAATGAGATCCTTTCTACCATGTCAAATAGAGGATATGATCCCAAAAGATTGTAAACAATTAATTAATTTGTCTCATTATCAAGAAACCTATCTACCATGGTGAGTGTAATTTGTGGTCATGTGACAGGTCCTTGACCTAGTTTGTATAAAATATTGAATGGTTCATTCACTTGCTGTCAACTAGTAATTAGTGAGTGAAATACAATCACTGCATTCATCACGCACACATGCAGAGCAAGAAATTAAATAATTATTGAGGTATTCCAAACTCAGAGACCTGTAACATGTCCGGGTATGTTTCATCTAATGCCATTCAAAAACACTTCATAATATTGATTGCTATTGGGTATAATTCAATGCTTCCAGTGTGTGTCTATGTACAATGTTCATTCATTCATTCAGCTAATGTTTTTCTATTCTATAAGGACTGACATTGCAAATTTCAGGCTCAAAGAATTGATAATTTATCTAAAAATAACCATATTGCTTACATGTATCAAGTTCAGTATTTAAATATAACCGGAATTATTTTAAAATTTGTTTTATGGTGAGAGTGAAAACCATTAGTCAGTTTTTAGTTCATAGGTTTTATAAACATTTCACAGACAGAAATGTGAATTCCAAACAGCTGATTTTGTCATTGATAGCTTTTCCTGTTCTCTACATATTTGTGTTATTTACTGTGTATTGAATGCTACAATGTATGTTAATTATTAGGAAAACTGCAAGTGACTGTATGATGTTCAACTTTGAACTGATGGCCTTTGTATAAATTTATTAATAACACTTAGATTGCTTACAAATAGACTCTACATGTAAGCATTTTGTCCATTTTGTGTTGGTTAGGTTGTTTTGTAGGCAGATTGACAGAATATCTTTTTTTCAAGTAAGATTGTATCTTTATTGTACCGCTATAAATCAGCTGTGGTCTTCAAATTTTGTGCAACTGTTTTATATCAATCATTTTCATATTATTGTTTTTTGAGATTTCAAAACCATATCTGCCATGGTAGAATTCAGATTAGAAATGTCTTTGTGCTGATTTATTTAATCTCTTTGTAATTTAAGTCATGAGAAAATGAAAATAGAGACAGGATTTGCTGTATTGAAGATAAGATTGCTGTGAAATTTCCCACGCAATATAAAAATAACCATATTGCTTATGAAGTTCAGTATTTAAATAGAACTAGAATTGATTTTGCTAGTGTTTTATGGTGAGAGTGACATCCATTAGTGAGATGTCAGTTTTGAATTGATAGTTTATATAAACACTTGTAATACATTAAACGTCTGTCAATGTTTCATGTTGTCTGACTTTTAACTATGTATTTCACTGATTGTTGATATTTTCCAGGCATAAATACACACATGGTCCCCTACCAAATTTTAGTCTACAAATACAGCAAGTACAAAGAATTATAAAATTCTGGATGGGTTTTATCTCAAAATATTTGTAATACACGGGTAGATAACAATGAAAAAGAAAGCACAAATGGCTTTTAAAAATGGATGGTGTGCTAAAAATGGCTTTTCAGGATGCAGTAATGTGATTGATGAGAGGAGCTGTGCAAAATACAAAATAGTATGGTTTGGGAGTGTGATAATTACCGGTAGCTCTTTTGGGTCTTAATTTGGGCAAATGATAGGCAAATGGAGTGATCACTCGCCTTAGAAAGTGAAGTCTGAATTCAATTTGTACATAATAAGACTATCACTGGAACATTACATAGTGTATCACCAATTTATCAAAGCAAATGCTCAATTCAGAACCGGGCTGATGTATGCAATGTACCCAAAAAAACAAGTTAAACAGACATTACTAGTATGTGAATATTGCAGACAAATGAAAGAGGAAATGTGGCTGATAGAGAACAGACTTTATGAGCAAAAAATAAACACTATGAATTTAATTATCGAGGAAATCGACCAAAACTATCAGGAAATAAGCAAAATTTAGCAATTCAAATTAATTTCTTATCCGAAATTTTATTATCAATTTTTCTTGATTTTACTGGTGTTATTCTATTCTGTATGTCTTGATAAATAAACGATAAACTGTATTAACCTTGTAGGACCTCAGCTATAGTTTGTAATGCATAACCTCACACAACATGTAGAGATTGAACTTTTATTAGGGGTTCAGCGTGATAGTACTTATCACCTATAATAGGTATGTACTCTAAGATTTCAGCTGACAGATGTGTGTCGTCATTTTCTCATCAACTATCCATTTATTTCACTTACCCTACCCCTCCCCCTCCCCCTCCCCCTCTACTGTTTCAATATTCCCATA